ACCAACTTTTCTAATAGCAAATAAACACAAGAAAGTTTGGAAAGTGATTTTTCAAAAACTATTTTCTAGAAAACAAACACAAGAAAGTTTGGAAAGTGTTTTCTTGGAAACCATTTTCCAAAAAACAAACACAACTAAAAAGGAAAGCACTTTCCTGAAAACCAAGCCAAATTTTTCTTTAACTAAAAAATATTTTTTATTGATCAGAAATTATTTTCCGTTGACAGGAAAGTGTTTTTTATTGACTGAAAAATGTTCTTCGTTGACCAACTTTTCTAATAGCAAATAAACACAGAAAAGTTTAGAAAAATAATTTTTTTAAAATTATTTTCCAGGAAACAAACATGGCTATAGTTACATTTACACATTGAAACTTCGAAAATAGAAATCCCTTCCCTCGGGAAAAACAAATATCTAATTTTAAATTATTATATTGATAATTAAAAAGATTTGCTTATCTTCTTCATTTTTAAAGTTTTAATTCTTAGACTAAAGAGAATTTATGATTTGTTTAATGCACTAGGTTGATATGGAATATATATATTCTTAAGTTCGTTTGAAAAAACTTAATCTTAGTTAGTATTTATTTAGTATATTTTAAAAAAATATTTTTAATTAAAAATATATCATAATAATTATATTTTTTCAAGTAAAAAACATTAAAAAAAACTATATCACAAAAACCAACACTCTCTTCAAACCTAATTTGAACTTGATTTTTTTTTTCTTTTAACTTAATTAGTTTTAATATTTTTTGGATCGTGTTGGTATTTTAATGTTAAAAATAAATTTTTAAAAATAAACTATTATCACAACACTAATTACTATCTTCAACTATACGAAGAATAATCTTTCTGTCTAAAAGAAAGAAAAAAACATGGTCTAATATTTATAAATCATTTGATATTTGATGATGTAATAATAATAATTTTAAAATATATTTTATTTAAAAAATATATTAAAATAATATTTTTAAAAAACCTATTTTTAACTTCATTATATTAAAACAACCAAAAAATATATTAAAAATATAATTTCAAACCAAAAATATTTAAATTAAATATAAAGCTAAAAAGTACGTGGAAAATACTGCTTCCCCATATCTATTACAACTGTAAATTATAATAATAATTTATAATTTTTTTTCCTTTTATTTTGACCTTTTTTTTTCATTTGGTTGTTCATATAGGTTTATAAGGAATTAAAACTAATAATTTATTTTAATTCATCTTATATATATATATCACAATATAAAAATATATTTTAATATCAGGTTAGTATTAAAAAAATATCAATGTATTGTGGTATAGTCTTTTTTTAAAAACCATTTTATTAAGTAAAAAATTATTTTTAAAAAAGTTATTAAACTTTGTGAAGTCAATGATCCGGTTTGTAAGTTTAGCAAGGTAATTATGATTGCCTTAGTTTGTGGCGAGGTATCATTATTTTCTTTCTAATTAAACTCGATTATGTGATTATCTATTTTTATTTTTATAATATAGTTAAAAAAGTATTCTTGAAAAACATATATTATAATTTTTTTGAAAGTCCATGACCTGTTAATAGGCATGACAAATTTAATTTTTGTTCTTCTTCTTTTATTTTTTTTAAATTTAATTTTTAATTTTATTATTTGATATTGAATTGTTTAAAAATTAAGTTTCATAGTTTATTTTATTTTGTTTTATATAAAGTTATAATAGTGTTTTTAAAAGTATTAATATTGGCTTGATGCTTGATTTTGCATTCATTTTTTTTCCTTATTATATAGTGAAATAAAAAACAGTTTAGAAAAAAAACAAGTTATTAATCTCAATGGAGTTCATTATCTAATTTGTGAATTTGATGTGTTGACTTAGGTTACCCAATTCACGAGTTTAACGAGTTTTTTTTATCAAACTTAATATGTTTTTATTTTTTATTTTTTGGTCTTTTATTTTTTCTAATTATTTTTTTATTTTGTTCTTTTTTAATATTTTATTGATTGAAAAATAAAATTTATGACTTATTTTTTGTATTTTTATAAAGTTATCATGATTTCAAATAAATATTTTTTCAAAGTTGATGCTCAATTTTAAAAGCATTCAATATTATCATGAAATTAAATAAAAATATTTATAAAAAAAATTATAAAACTCATTAAGTTTATGATCAGGTTGTAGGGTAACCAGATCAATCCAATTTGACATTGTCTCAATATAAAAATTTATTATCTTGAATTTTTTTTAAAAATTATGTTATATTTTTATTAATTATCCAAGTTATTTTTTATTTAATTTAAATTACATATTGATTAATTCAAGATTTGAGTTAGAAAATAAACTAAGATAACTTTTAAAATCAATTTTTTAATTGAATTTAATAATACTATAAAAAGAATTTCTGTATTCTTAATAATTTTTAGGGTGTCCATTTTTTTTAAGGTGTTTGAATGTACATTTTTTTTTTAAGGTGTTAGATCCACGTTCCCCTCTACTACGGTACAAAAAGAGAGGTCCATTTCTGCAATCCAACAAACCATCTAAGCCCATATTTGCAAACGAAACTTTCAATAAAGACAGTCTGAAACACGTACAAGTGAGTTTGGTGAAGTGTTTCTCTGCTCTCTCTCTTGCAATTTCCTCTTCCTTTCCTTTCCTCTTTCTTACTTCTCTTCCTCAACATTCGTTTATCATCATAAAAACCACAACTTTTGATTACAAAACAGAGAAACCAATAAAAAAGATATGGCTTCTGATTCATGGGTTTCTCGCTTCGCAACTTCTTCAAGAAGATATCAGACTCGATCTGGTTTGTTTAGTATCTTTCACTACTTTTATAATGTTCGTAGTTTTATAATAAATGTTGTGTGAAAGTGGTATTTTTTGTTGGGCTTGTCGCGTTAGATCTGCATGAAGAGACTGAAGCAGAAGAGGATTTGAAAGCTGAGTATTTGTGTCCGTTTTGTGCTGAGGATTTTGATGTTGTTGGTCTCTTTTGCCACATCGATGAAGACCATCCTGTTGAAGCCAAAAATGGGGTATCATATTTTTATCATTTGCTCTGTTTTTTTTTTTAAAAAAGTTTTCAACTTCTTTTGATGGATGTCGATTAAAAAGTTTAGTTCTTTAGTGTTAAACTATGAAGGGTTTTAGTTATATTTATGGGGTTAGTCCTTTAGTGTTAAATTGTGATTTTGGAAAAGGGGTTTTAGTTAAATTTACGGGTTTTGATTTTTAATGAGATTATTTGGTTAACTGTGAACTTGTCGCCTTGTTTTTGAGGACTTTATTTGTATCCTAGAGTACAAATTGGTCTCTTTTTTGTTTAACACAATATTAGGTGCACTTTCTTAGATACGTGTTGCTTGAAGACTGCTACTGAGATGATGTCTGAATTGTTTGTTTTCAGGTGTGTCCAGTTTGTGCTAAAAGGGTGGGGATGGACATTGTTAGTCACATTACTGGGCAGCATGGGAACTTCTTTAAGATATCCTTTTATATCAAATTTGACTTAGTCACATTCAACGTTTTGGTTCAGAATTTTTGTATAATCTGGTTGTGTGTATGTGCAAGCGAACATGCATATTTTGGTGGTTCGAATGTTAATGGCAAGTGAATTAGGTTTTGTTGGTAGTTGAAAATCTTTCTAATGAAACTCTTGAGGTTCAAAGGAAATTTTCAACATCTTTGGGGGGGGGGGGGATCATGGGTCACTTATCATGTTGGTACTTCTTTCATTTGCTTCCTGGGTTAGTGCTTCAACTTTGTTTCGAAAGCAGTCTTTTTTTGCGCTTTTATTCTTTTGAGTTGAGCAATCTAATCACATATCTATGACACCCTTGAGTTTATGCCCCTATTTATTTTATTTGTTTTTTAGTTTTTCTGTATGGTCACAGTAATCCATTGAGTTCCTTGACTGGAGATTACGTTCAGCGTAAGAGAAGATTGCGAAAGGGGGGAGCTAACTCAGCATTTTCTATATTGAGAAAAGAACTGCGAGAAGGAAGCTTACAATCCCTTCTTGGTGGATCTTCATGCTTTGTTTCTTCCTCCAATACAGAGCCTGATCCATTGCTTTCACCTTTCATATTTAATCCACCTGGTTTTGATGAAGCGCTGAATTCAAAACCTCTTTCTTCTGTTGAAGCAAGCTCAGTGAAGGGGAGTACCACTGAGGAGTTTCTACAAAGGTATGATTACTCACATCCTTTTCCCATTGAAGTCACTGCATTTGATCTTAATTTATTAAAAGAAGCTTCTGTATTTTGGCCCCCAAGATATGAACTAAAGGTCTGCTTGTTTTTCTTGGTAAATCAGCTTGAATTTGTTAGCTGCTTCCCTGATAATTGTATTCCTTTCCCTTTAATAAGTGGAATCTATCCTGGTAACAAGATAAAAAATAAGATTGACTATTGCGAATCTGCCTGGTTCCTATCACTGTGATGTTACTATTCTCTTAATGAATGTATAGTGTAAGGACATCTTCAAACACTAATAGGTAATGATGTATGGTGTTTGATGTTTTAGGATCAGTATGCAATTTGTATAGTTGTATAATATTGGTGCTTTTTGGTTGGTTTAGATTCAGAAGATTGGTCTCCTCTGTTCTTGAACAATTGAAGGTAAGGATGGAACTTTTGTAGAGTTGATGCCATGAAAAATCTTCTCTGGATGAATAGGTAATGAATTGTGGAGTTTGAGGTTTACTGACAGCCTAGAATTTGTGTCGACTATGTTTTAGGATCCTATACTCTGTTATTATGGTCAAAGAAGATTGAATCCAAAGTTATTGAAGCTTGTATGGAACTGTTTCCATAGTTTGAGCAAGAAACTTGCACTGTTAATGATCCTTTAGTCATTACCGTACATGATATTCACCAATTTAGTGTTGTTGGAGAAGATTATCACTCTGTCAGCAAGGTAGTTAAATGGAATAAATGCAACTTGAACCACGTAACCTGCACTTCATCAGCTACTTCTCCCCTTTGAGGCTTTCTAGCGTTGCCGGTATGTTGTGGAATTTTTCCTTTTTCAAGATTTCTAACATCAGTTTAGTGCCAACAGGGAAGTCCAACAGCCACATCTATCAGACAAGGACCAAGAGGAGAAATCCCGGAAATCAGAGTTTGTCCAAGGACTGTTGCTTTCAACCATTCTTGATGATGAGTTATGAGTGTGGGCGGTAATTGTGATGGATTGTTAATATAATGTTAGGAGTACGAGCAAAGTGAAGAGGAAAGCTGTTCAATTTGTGACACATGTTTGTATTAGATAGGTCCCATGAACTATTATGTGCAACTATTTGTATTTACAGCTCATGTGCATAATGGAAAAAATAAAGTTATAAGCCTACCTCTATACCTTATTTGCTTTGCTTTTCGCACAAATAATATTAGCTTATGTATACGCAACTGATGCACCATTTTTCTTCCCAGAGTAAATTGTTTGGTCAGTGGAACTGTACATGACATCTTGAATCCCATTTCGAGGTCACCATTTTTTGTTTTTGGTTCGACTGGTGTGTTGCAGACCGGACTAAATTTTCTGTTAGCAATCATTTTCAGCGGTCAGGAGAACTTAATTCCTGGTACTCTTTTTTTTTTTTTATTTAAATGATCCAACCTTGTTTATCTGCATATTCAATTCCTATTTTTCCACCTCACGATTTATCAAACTGCAGGTTTCCTTGACACGAGTGTCCCATGGAGATCTTCACTGTCTCCCCGCCATTCCTTGTTATGTTCTGTGCATATGGTTAAAATAAGTGGTTATGTCAAAATGATTGGTGCCCATTTGTCTACCCAAACACTGTAAAATGCAAAATGCCAACACCTTCAGAATCCCATCCAAAACCTCTACTTGCTTGTACAGGATTCCATTCGTTTCATGTTCACGCGTCTCTAGCACCATCATCCATCTATTGTGCCATTTCTCCTTTCGGCAAATAGCAACTTGTAAACAAGGTTTTCCTTCTTCCTAGACGGTTATAGAAAAAGAAAAGAAGAGCAAGGGCAATGAAAACTCAAGGGCTGTTTAACGACCAGTGGTGGTATCTTATGTTTTTAAAAACAAAACAAAAGCAAACTAGTTTTTGTAAAAACAGAAATGAAACGAACGAATAGCAAAGGCTACTTAAGTTGCCTCTTTCTGTCTGACAAAATGACAATAGCTGTTTTCGACATCAGTTGACCTATAGAAGCATTTTCTTTTGCAGTTATATACACTAGACGAGGGAGTTCACACCTTCAGACCAGCAAGAGAATCTTTGGTTGAAGGAACACAGCATATGTTAGATCATATTTCAGAAACTGCTCCTACAAAACGTGTATTGAACATTCTACCTCAGAAACAACCATATACAAAAGTCAGTAGTTTTTATAGGACAACGTCATTAAACAGTAGCAAAAACAAAAGCTTTCAGGCCTGGAAAACTGTCCATAAGATCAAAACACCATTTATGATCATTAGGCTCCTAATCTGCAACTCCTCACGTTAAAGCCCAAGCACCAAGATAATTATCGGAAAACTCCTTCAAGCGCATGCAAAAGGTTGCGAACAAGCAAAAAGTGGATCATTCTTGGACTTCGTCAAGATGTGCTGGCATAGCCAGGACATGACACTAGTCTGACAATCCTGAAGAAATACCACTCCATACAACATCAAAATAATGAAGGATATTTAGTATGCGCTGAAAATGGGGCTCTTACAGGACTGAAGGTGCCAGTTCTCTTTAATAACTCATTTATAAAGGAAACCTTTTCACCTTGGGCTTGTGTTGTGGGAAACAAAGAACCTATAGTCAGGATGATTAACTTTCAAAAGCCTAAGCCAGTTATCAGCAGCTCTTAGCAATGAACTGGCCTTTGGGCATTCATAGACTCCACTGGGATTCCAAAATGAAACTTTGAACTTATAGGAAGCAAGCCCAAATGTAGGCAAAGGTAGCTTGAGGGACATGTCAGAACGGTGAAGCTCCCTAACAGTAGAGCCGTGAAGTTGCACCCTCTCACTGCTTTGACCTGTCCCAACAAAAAAGCAACAAACACATAAAACTGCAGGCAGATATAAAAGCCCACCATGGATATACAAGCATGCAAGTAAAGAGATGTACTTTGAATGGATGTTGACAGAGAATGATAGGTTAGAAAGCAGGCATCCAGGTTCTGCAGTGTAGGACCCATGGGTATCCTATATATGGGATACCAAGCCACAGAAATCCAACTTGAGGGTGATAGATCACAGCTCCTAAATGTCTTGAGTTCTGGAAACTGAGATGCAAGAACCAAAATCTGCAGGGATGCAAGACTACTGATAACAAGGGGAAAACATAAACAAGGAAAAAAAAACTGCAAGCTCAAAATTTTAAGCCAATTAAAGACAATGAACCTGCCTGGTCAGCCAAAGGTTGACGTGTAAATGGTGAAGCATGCTCCATGTATTCAAAAACACACCGACCTGGTGGATTGGAAATCTCACATTCATCACTAGATGAACCCCTGAAGGGTTTATTTCTCAGAGAGAGTCTATTCAAACTCTTAATATTTGCATCTGTAACATTAAGCTGGTTCCAGGGCTGCCAAACACCATTGTTTGCTACTCTCTCTGCTCCATAGTCACTGCTACCATCACTACACGTGTCCCTGGATGACTCCGTATCACTCTCCTCTCCAGGTCTTCTGTCAGAAGATGAAAGCAATGACAATGTAATGCAACAAGCATAATAGCCAACTGATAGGTAAAGCTAAATAATTTCAAACATCTAGACTGTTCACTTTACTTTATCATTCTTTCCATTGGAAGGACTACCAAAACTTGCTGCACTGCATAGGGCCAAGTACCAAAAGTAACAATCTAGCAGTACAATTTAAAATGGAAGTAGCGTGTCAGAACAGCTGGAAAATTCCTTTTTGCAGCAGCACAACATATTCAAGAAAATTATACTGTTACATTCAGTCACACTTCCTATCTGGACCACTGAGAAACTTTTCATCATTATTAAACATAATAGTTTCAGAAAGCAAACGCACCAGGAGGCAGTAAATGTACCTGTCTGGAACACACTCAAGAAACTAGGAACACGCAATCAAACTAACACAGAAATTCATACGGATAAAACTTATTCCTCCTCTTCCAACAGTCCTGCATAGTATTTCTGTGACAGTAAACCGAGTAACAGTACATGGCCTAGCCATTTCAATGACCGATTACCTCTTGAAAGGTTAAATTTGGCATTTTCTGGAAAAAGTATAGCAAGAATAAACTGTGAATTATTCAAGTAACCACTGCTACCAGGAAACTAGTGGCTCAAAATTCTCCACACAGTATTAACAATCATTTCTAGTCTTGCACTTGCAGCCACAAGGAAGCAGTTTTGGCCTCCCAGATGCGGTATTAAACTGACCATGTTTGCATTAAGGGTTTTAAAGGTAGCGGCAACACCAAAAGATGATCATTTAAACCTTAGATAATTCACTGGCGGGTGGCCCCAATAGACTTTGGATCCAACATGACAATGGAATATGGGCACAAGATATTACATCACACAGCCCTAGGATGCAGAATTTGCTTCTATTTTTTTTAAGAAAATAGTCATTTTGTTTCTCAGAAAGTTGTTAAGAAAAGACACCTAGCAAAAAGGCAGGCAAAACAATCAACTAAGAAATAAAGGTTTAAAACCCACTCATCAATTAGAGCTGTAACACAAACTGAACTCATGTCACCCAAATAAATAGCCTCCTAATTCTCTTCATCTATCACAGTCCATGATCCATCTATCTATAATAGAAAGCACAAGGAGGAACTGACTGTGATATGGACCTAACCTAAGAATGTAATACACTGAAAATAAAAAAAAATTACAGAAAACAAATAAGAAACCATAACTTCCATACCCAATAAAACCAAGTTTGTAGAATTTGGCACTTTTTCTTAATTGGAATAATGACTTTGCGATTTCGACAAAACAGTCATCCATACAATGGCATATCCATCGAACTCTATATATTAAAAGGACAAACTAACATCATCAAATGCCAGATATCCATAGAAGCGTATTGACAGCACTAGTAGTTTAAATCATCTAAAATGCAGATCTTCACCAAGAATACTACAAACCAATCACTGCCTTGATATAAAGTCGATTCCATACCTTTCAGTGTGTCCAAACCATAAACCAAAAAAATAAAACAAAATTGAAACTAAGTCAGAAAATAAATCAGTTACCTAAACTTGATGCATACAATTTGAATTTAAGATCACAATATTGCAGGGTGGTCATACATCCTAAGTTCACATCAATAAATCCATCAAAACCATGCCAATATAGTTATTGGAACTGGGCACATTAATAAAATGAAAAATATAACCAAATACAAAGCCGAGAGAATGGCTCACCTCAGCCTTAGGGAGGGTTGTGACGGATCTAAATATAGTTGAATGCCAGACAAATAGGGAACATAATACTGCACAACAGTCTCGCTCCCATTCAAAAGAAGAGGAACACCTGCCCCGTATGCACTCCACTCCTTAAAAGATTCCCATAAATCCCCAAGCACAAAATAGAAGTTCTGGTGATGCTGCACTTCACATGTTCTCCATTCTCTAACACTTGTCTATACAACCCACAAACACCACCATTAAAAGAACATGCACATCTTACTAAAAAGCAAAGACATTCAACTCATTTTCAATCTAAAGCAAACTCAATAACAGCGAAAACAATTTTCCCAAAGATTCATCTAAAATCAAAACCATAACAATTATTACTTGGAAACAAAATTAAACATTTTCAACAATTGTTTCTAGATTAATAAACTGAATTATAAACCCTAAACCTTTAGAATTTAAGACCTTCAATCAATAAAAACACCAATAAAACAACACATGTCATTAAACAAACAACATAGTAAATCAAATTGAAAAAAAAGCTAATTAATTGTCCAATGAAGTCATTTATAATGAAGATCCTGATTAATTATCGATGATTCCGTTCAAAATTAAAAAGTGTCAAAAATCATTGGCTTGATTAATTAACTCAATTCATAACCCTACATTATCCCAATTTAATTAACTAATAAAAACCCTAATCTAATCCATTAAATTAGTAATGTTCTTCACAATTTAAAACCTTAAACAAATATTAAGGCAAATTAAGCCGCAACATAAATAAAAAACCCACACAGCAAAAAGCATAAAAACCTAAACTTTATTACAAAAAAACGAAAAATCAACAAAAACCCAAAAAAGTCTCATTAATTACCTTGGGCAGAAACTGAGCAGGTACAACTGGAGTAGTATACTCCAAGAATCGATCCAAATTCGTTGAGTTACTCTCGGGCCCAACCCGGCCTGAGACAGAACAATTTGACCCGCATTGATCGGATTCCTTCCTCTTCTCAATCTCCACTGTTGAATTCTTCGAGATCGATGGCTTCTGCTGCTGCTGCTGCTTCAGTTGCTGTAATTGTTGTTGTTTTCGGATCCCGGGTGAAACATAGAACCGATTCTCTCCACGGTTTCGAGCAATTGAAACACCACCGGAGCCTGACATTGTATGAAATTGAAAACAAAAGAAAAAACAAAGAAAGCTTTTGGGGTTTTTATGTTTTAGAAACGAAGTTGAGTTAGATTATTATTGCTTGTGTGCTTTTTTTTGCTTCAGATTTTAATTTGAGTGTGTGTGACTGTTAAAGAGGCAAATCAATATGAGAGGGGGGAGAGAGGGACGAGAAGTCTCGAGAGAATTTTTTTTTTCTTTTCTTTTCTTTTTTACGTGTTGGTCTAGGGGTGTCGTATAATAAATTACAGCATGCTTTTTTAAATAGTTTTTTATTTGAAAATATAATAAAATATATTTTTTAATTTTTTATATAGCATTTCAAAATTATTAAAAATAATAAAAATAATTAATAATTTAATAGTTTTTCAAGTCAAATTATTTTTAAAAAATATCTAAAAATAACAGTAAAAACTGTAACAAACATCCTTTTAATATTCATAAAATCTACCATACGAATACTATCATGTACATCTCAATTAAAAAGCAACATTGAAATAGTAATTTTTTATTATCATTATTATTTTACTTGATGATAAAAGTCATGTGGAGCGTTGAAGTAATTTTCATTATTTATATTTATTGAACGGAATTAGTTAAATTTTAAAAAACTTTCAATTTGAGTATACAACATTTTTTTTGCTCTTTTATGTATAATTTAACGCCTAATTACATATTTTTTTTTAATGAAAAGTTGAATTAGAAGACATAAAACTAAAAAGCAAAAGATAAGTAAAATAAATGGTGTCTTAGAATTTTGTTCAACAAGTTTTTAGTCCCACACTTCATTCATTTAACAAGTTTCTATTTTCCACTAATTATTGGATTGGAATTGAATCTTTTTTTATTCTTTTTAGTTCAATTTAGTATCTAATTGTATATTTTTTTTTAATAAAAAGTTAAATTAGAAGACAAGAACTAAAATATAAAAGAGAAGTAAAATAAATGATATCTTAGAATTTTATTTGACAACTTTTTAGTCCTAAACTTCATTTCACTCATTTTCCACTCTATTTTTATGAAAGGAGAGAGAAAGGCTTGTCAGATTCTAGCATATAAACAAAAATTTGTTATTGATGATGATTCAAACTATCAAATATAATCAATTTTGTTTTAAATTAAAAAAAAAATCAAACTCTTAATTTTTCAATGACCAGGGGTTGTTGAAATACATAGAAAACAAACAACATATCATTTATTGTCTTTGAAAAAAAAGAAGAAGAAATAGAGGTTGACTATCATCCCATTAATAAATAATAATAATAATAGTAATAATGAAAGATAGGTCAAGATACACATGCTTGACTAGAAAGTCTACACACTGCTTTTTTTTAATGCCTAGACCCACGTGGATGGATTTTTTTATTTATATTTTATTTGGCTTTGAAAAAATTAATAAAATAAATAATTGAATCTAATATAATTTATTATTTTGACTGTAAGTTTAATGAGTTAATTCATGATATCCAAGAGATTATTTTTTTAATGCTTTTCTTATCCATCAATTAAAAAAACATATAACCTTACCATTTATTATAAATGATTTATTTTTCTTAATTTAACTTGAAATTAAAAGAATGTAATTTAGCACTTTATTGTCAATGATCTAATTTTGCTATCTTAACCCCATGTGCCTGTAATGATTTTTTGTTTTTTAACTTTTTAAAAATATGTTGTTTCGTATATAAATAAAATATCATGTGCTTTATTGTTGTATAATTAAATGAAAAATAATTTATGAGATAAAAAAATTATTGAATCTAGTTATTGCATAACTTTTTTCGCGAGTTTTCTTAATTGACTCGTATTTATTATGTTATTTTAATAAAATATTTTTTTATTGATTTTATCATTGAACATTAAATTAATTTGAGATTGAGCTTTTTATTTTTTCTTGCAAGATTATCATCGTGAATTTTATAGATAAATCCAAGTTAATTCAAATCTATCAAATATTTTTAATTTTTGTATTAGATTTAAAATATCATTTAATTAATGATTAAAATTAACTTTTTTAAAAGATATACTACCAATATCTAAATATTGTTTTTTTGTTCTCAATTTCCCCCTACTTACATGCAATGCGTCGTAGTGCATTCCAATGAACTATTTTGGATGAATTTGTATATTAAATTCTTGTTAAAAAATGTTAAGGATAGACTGTACGACGCCCCCCCCCTCTATATATATATATAAAAAGTTCTAAGTTCTGATCCAATAAATAAATTAATGATGAAGACATATTTTCTTAACTACCAATCCAGTTCAAGATTAAATAATTTTAGGTTTAGGATTTTGTTGACTTTTGTTGAGGTGGATTTGGGTTTCGGGTAAGGATTGTTGAAGACCGGTCCAAGTGGGAGCCCCTTTTGTCTGATGGTCTGTTTGGTTGTTCTGGAATTTTGTTAGGGGAATATCCTCAACCAGTAAACGAGAGATTCTGGATGCCAAGTTTTCTGTCTTCTTTCTTTTTAATAGGAGGATACTAAGATGATCAACTGAAATTAATTAATTAATAGTTTTATGGTTAATCTTTGTTATATAAATCTAATAGTTTTTTATGTAGCAAAATTTAGTAAAAATTATAATCTACAACTGGTCTTTACTTTTTTCTATATATATATATATATATATATATATATATATCTTATTATCGCACTATC